GAGGGGTGTGGGATTTGTTTTTTGTCTTTTTGAGACAGGGTCTCGTCTTATAGTTTAGACTGGCCTCCAATTCATGCCTCAGCCTCCTGAATGCTGAGATTACTGGCATGTGCCACCACACCCAACAAAGTTATTTTATGGCAGTGTATTGTCACACATACGTGTAATCTCAGCACTCAGGAGATTAAAGCAGAAGGATTACCATGACCTTAAGGCCAACCTGAACTACATAGTAAAACCCTGTCTCAAAAACCAACAAATAAAGGAATGTTATTTTGTTTACTTGACTGTCCTCTTATCAGAAAATTATCTGGTCAAGTCTTTGAATGATAAATGTCTGGCTAGGAAAATGTTTGAATGGTTTTCAATTATTTCTGATAATAACTCATTACTTTTCTTAAAAGTTGTTTCTGATCATTGAATATCTGTGCTAAACTAGTATATATTATTTTGCTTTCTGGCAAACCAATAAAATAGGATGAATATATGAGTAAATATCAAAATTATTCTATACTGAGAACTAAAAAATATCAATAATGACATGCTTTAATCCATTTAATTTCTTTGTCTTCTCAGGTGGATCTCCTTATTTAGCAACCAAAATAAATGAAGCAAAGGACTTGCTAGAATCAACTACCAAGCACTGATCAGCGCTGAAGTATCATACTTGTAGGAAAAATATGAGGAACTTAAAAAATAGACCTGCAAATTAATCTAAAATATGGTCTTACTTTTCCTACATATATTGACCACAGTCATTCTTCCATCAAATTAATACAGCAATAAAAGACTAAACATCTTGCTTTTTGTTTTAAAGGAATTACATAAATGACTAGGGGAGAACTGCATATTTTTCTTTACTTTCTCAGTGATATTCACATTTCTAGAAAGTCTATGTAAGTTCTAAACTCTACATACAAATGCACACACACAGGAATATAACCATAAGCAATGCAGTTGGGATTTGTGAACAATGAATAGAAATTTTCTTACTGCTTATGTTTGTACCCTTATTGTTCCTTATTTCTTAAAAGGAATTTGGGACTCTACCTGTACAGGACTTTAACCAAACACTGACTGCCACCCTGGGAAAATGATCTGAAACGTGTTGGAATTTCCTGGTGATCTGTAAAACAGTGGCTAGAACTTAAGTGACTCTATTCCCTCTGAGACCCTATAACTGAAGCATGAGAACTTGGAGAGCCACTAAAATGATTGATGATTTGCCAAATGACCCCTATGAGGAAAGGCTGAAAGGAGCCCGGAGAAATCCAAGGCATTTGTGTTTAATTATAATCTTCCTATATTGTGTGTTTGTTCAATCAATTATTCATTCTACAAATATTTATTGACTGCCTTTGACTTGTAAAGCCCTGTAGTAGATCCTGTGAGAGTTATAAGTATGACCCAGTCATGGATCCTGACCCATAGGAACTTAATAAAGAGAAAGGATAAATCACATAAATAATGAATTCTGTTAGAGTTATAGATAATAATTAAAGAAGTTTTTAAAAAATATTTTTAATTCAGTTCATGGTGGAAAGGGGCTTCATGGATCAAGTGGCACTGAGTTGAGCTGTTATTGCAATGATACTACATGACTGTGAGTCAGAGTGGGGCGAGGTATTGCACACCTGTGATCCCAGCATTCAGGAGACCTAAACAGGAAGAACTGCACGTTTGCTTGTTTGTTTGCTTTTGCGGAACTGGGGATTGAACTCAGGCCTTTGCACTTGCCAGGGAAGCACTTATTCCACTGAGCCATCTCCTTGACCCCAAGAAGTACAAGTTTGAGGCCAGCTTGGAATACATAGCAAGACCATGTCTCAAAACAAAAGGATTGTGACTCAGTATTGTTTCTCCTGAGATCAGAATTAGGAGTAACATATCTATCAGTGTGTTTAAAGTGCAGAGTTTCTCAAAAGCAAAAGAAATGGGACAGAATTGTCTTGAATTTAATCACTCATTAGCTTATAATTTTATTCCCATTTTCCTGTTAATTATGTGCCTTTGAGTCAAACAGATCTGGTTTTGAATACAATCTTCCTATTAGCTGATCTTGGATAGTTATCTAATTGGCAAGTCTGTAATCCTAACCTAAAAAATAAAGAAAACACTTCTATATAATAAGGTTGTTTCAGGGAATAAGGGTGCAAACAAAGTCTAATCACATAGCAAATGTTCAAAAAAATTACTTTTTCTCTGCCCTATTTTATTTTTTAGAAAATCTTGGATTAAGTTTCCAGGTATGGGCTGGGGAGATGGCTCAGTAGAATATGCACTTGCCTGGCAAGTGCAAGGGCCTGAGTTCAATCTCTGGTTCCACTAAAAAAAAAAAAAAAAGTTCCAGGTATGCTCCAGTATAATCATTTATTTTACTCTTGGATCTACAACTTTGGTAGGCTGCAGTAGAGACAGCCCTGCTCTGTCAGCAGCATCAGCTGAGGCTGGAGGAGCCGTTTCATGTGGCTGCCAGCTGGAACTGGGTGCTGGCTGGAATACTCCATTCCTCACTCCACAGGTTTGCTAGAGCATCGTCACACCATAGCACTGCCTACAGGAGATAGTTGTTCAAGGGACTGGAAATGAGAGCTGCCAAACTCATCCTAGTTCTGGGAAGAGCCAAGGCAGCATTTTTGCCATATTCCATTTGTCTAAGACTTAAGAGCCTGCCAAGATTCAGAGGAAAGACAGAAGATTGTGAAAAACTGTGTGGTCATTTTTAATTTGTAGCAGAGTGAGATTGGAAGCTTTTTTTTTTTTTTTAAATCAGTTAAGGCATTACTTTTTTTAAAAATCACAGTAACTTGGAATACAGGCTTGGGAAGTTGCAGGTGATACAGCTACGATTCTAAGCAGTGTTTATTCTGTAATTATATGGCAGGATAGTTATAAAAATTGGATTTTGACCAGTTATCTGCCTCCTTATTATCTAATGGTTACCTATCTTCAGGAAAGATTGCTTTTGAATCCAGTATACAAGAACAGGAAAGACTTTAAAAATACAGCAGTAACTACACAGAGAAGTCAGATGGCCATTAAAAGGAGTGTGAAAAAGCCACATAGATTATAAGGTGCCCATCTGCCCCACAGTCAAAAGAGGGAAGATAAGGAAGAGTGTTGAGTGTAGCAGGCCTTGCTTTATTTACAAAAGATGTTTTAGTCATTCTTGAGATAATACTATAAACTGTGTCATACAATAGAAATACAGAATATATTCTTAAAGTGTTTCATATGTTCAGAGTAAGCATGACACTCTTTAAGAAAGGTGGTTTTACCTGGTTTTAATAAGAAATAAAGTTGTATTATGATTACCCAGTAGGGCTATTAGAAATAGCATTTTATCTCTGTATAGAATCTGTTGGTTGTCATAGAGAACCTTAAACAGGGAAGAGCCTTTAGTGACTTAGACATGCTTCATATTTAAGATAGTTTAATGGCATTTACGGGAGAAGATGAATCAGCCGAATGTCAAAAATAGGAAGTTTCTGTGACTCACCCATTTTAGGATGAGCTACAGAGACTACATTGAGAGCTCATAGGCTGGTTGGTTTTGCAGTGAAAACCACCCTATCCACAGACACACTGCAGGGTTCCCAGTAGTCACCGCCCCAGACTCTCGCCTCTGGCTACAAGAAGGACTACATGGAAGCAAGTAAATATGTCTGGACTGCCCCTCCCTCCCAGTAAAAGAACATGCCTTCCTAATACTAGATCAGTATCAAGAACATTTCATCAATATGAGTCAGAATTTTATTTATGGTTATATACATTAAGAAATTAAAGTGTGTTAGTGTAATTTATTAGCTGAAAAAATTAGGTTCTTGACTTTTCCCTCTACCCCCAAGTAGGTAGGTGGATAGGCAGGTGAGTGAACAGATGACCAGGCATCTTTTTTTGGACCATAGGTTGATCCCCAGGGGGCTGTGTGGAGGTGGTAACACTGTTCCTGTAGGTACTGCAGTACCAGGTCAATGTGGAGGGGATGGAGCAAGCTCCTCTTCCATCTCCCAGCTCCAAATATCCATTTAATATATTGTCCTCAGATAGAGGGTATATCAGATATTAAAGTGATAAGAACAGATATTGCACTTGATCTTAGCCCAAAGCAAAGAAGCAATGGACTCATTTTTATAGGTAGAACCTAGGTCATCTGGATCATTAATCACCAGCAAAATTGCTAGGCATAGTAGACAAAGAAATGTTCTTTCTAATGATTTCTTATTAACTGAGTAGCTATTGTTCTCAGATGAGTGTTCTTTTTCTCTTTTTGTTGGTGAGCAAAAGAATTTACCAAAAAAAACCAAACCATTTTTTTTTCTTTTTTTGTATTAAAAATCTTGTTCAATTAAAATGTAAGTTCATTAAGTAGTATTCCTTTCTCTTCATGCCATAACTCTTTTCCCTTCTGGTCTATTCAACATTGCCTAACAGCACTAGTCAACATTTAAAGTCTGAATAGATTATTATATTGATATTACATATACAATCTTCACCATTAGAGGGAGTTTAATTTCACATGGGCAAAACATGAACACCCAGACTAAATTTGGACTGTAAGTTTCAAATTAGTATCTCAACCCGACTGTGAAAGTGCTCCCCAGAACAGTGAATCACCAGTAGCAACTTTTGTTGTGACAGGTTGATGATAGATCATCCTTAAATTTTAACATCTAAGGTATAGTATACTAAAGGACAATAATAACTAGTTAATGTTCATAGATCTAATACTTAATAAAAGCTAATACTCATTGCATACCTGTGCCAAACATTCTACCTACATTATCAATTTTCATAGCTAGACTGAGGGACAGGTACTATTATTTTCATTTTACAGGTAAGGAAAGAAAAGTTCAAGGGGTTATGAAATTTTCCAAGATTACAAGTTTATTTTTAAGTGGTGGGACTATGAACTAAATTTTGAAGCACATGCTCTTTCCTTTCGATCATATTGTGGAAAGCAGTAGAAATGTCAGTAGAAATGTGTCTTGGTTCATTCTTGGATGTTTGTGGCATGGGGACATGTGAAAATAGGTTTAGGGGAAGATCCAGTGTCATCATGCATCACAAACGGCGGAACTAATGTCTTCCATTCTGCCTTGGAAGCTTATGGTGTCCATTCAATTGCACACAGAAAAATTTTAGTTATAAAGTTCAGCAGCATAGATTACTGTGATGCAGAGGAGTTGGAGGAAGCTGTGGTGAAATATTTGAAATGTTCCTAGCAAAAGCTTTCAAGGAGAACATCCAGAGCAAAGTTTGGAAGACAACTCATGAGGGTGAAGCAGCAAACCCTGGGAGAAAAGTGAAGGTGCTACCTCAGTATATTAGCAAGGGAACAAGAAGACAATTTATGAAGGCAGAGAGCAATAAAATACAGTGAAGAAATGAGATACCTGAAACAACAGATATGGTAGCATTTGAAGTGGAATTAGTGCCTTAAGAGTTTTAAAAATTGTTTACCGCTATTCCCATTTGTGGACTGGGAATATTGGGAATAATAATTGGCCTAGGAATATTAATATATCAGTAGTAATATACTGGGCTGGGAATATTATTTGTCCATACGGTGGAGCTTTTATACCAAATTCAGAATTATATTTGCAGTTACGGGGCTTTCTGGTGGAACATGTCATGTAATTTCATCTATATTGTGAGCTCTATTAAAAGTTGTGACTAAAAAAATAAAAAGATAAAAGCTGTGACTCTTTGATGATGCTTTTTACACATTCTTGTATTTCTTCAAGAGATCATTAGCCTGGTGACCCTCGGACATAGTGACGAGAGGCTGCTAAGTTATAGGCATGTAGAGTCTGTCAGAAGCCGTTACTGAAACTTTTGTGGGTTTTTTTTTTTAATTTTTAATTTTTTTTACTTTATTTTTTTTTCTTTTCCAAGTTTTATTGATAAACATATAGCAATGAGACAGTTTCAAATCAAATCAAAAGTACAGTTTCAAC